AACAAAATATCTAGCAGTGCATGTTGTCCTGGTGTGACCAGGCTGCTTACAATATCCACAAGTTGGAGGTTTTCTTGGTATTGGCTGGTGAGTGCTTGCTGATGCTCCCTATTGAGTATGGAAAAAAAATGTCATTATATTATCATTTGTTGATAATAAAGCAGGTGTAAGTAATTAACTTACTTCACGTTCAAATGGCCTTTTGGGGCATCCCCTCTTGTTGTGTCCAGGTTGCTTGCAAAGTGAGCACATGATTTGTCCACCTTCCTTTGTCATCTTTTCTAGCTGTCCCACCTTCACCTTTCTGGTTTCATTATCACCCTTCTTCCTATTCACCTTTAGCCTACCCTGCTTGCATCTAAATGGCAGTGGTTCTAGTGGCTCCCCATGATAATTTTCCCAGAATTTCTCACCATTACAAGGCATGATTGGTACATTGTATGCACGTTCATACTTAACCCTGTTGTACCAATTTGATACAAATTCATCCGGGTTGCAGTTACTTAAACCTATCGTAGACAATGCATGAGGACATGGAATTCCTGTTAAATCCCATGCTCTACAACTACACTTTTTTCCTATCAAATCCACAACAAATTTGTCATTCCAATGCCAAACATCATAGTGGTTCCTGCCATTCCATTCACATCTGCATTTGGCAACTTCAATCTTATTTGCTTCTAACTTCTTCCTAATTCTGGGTGCTATATCTCCTCTCCATTTGCTGATTTCTTCTCTGTTCTTAGCCATCCTGACCATCACCTTAACCCTTATATATTCTAACAGTTGGATGATTGGCATATACCTGGCATCCATTATCCAATTGTTGAAGGTCTCATTCATGTTGTTATCCACCACATCACATTTACATGATGTGTCCAAGAATGCCTTGCACCACAGCTCTGGGGGGATTGATTTTAAGGCGTCATGACCTTCCACGGATAAATTTCTGATCTCCTCCATGTTTTTGTTGAATTGACCTTCATATGTTGACCTTGCAGCAATCCAGAATCTTTTCTTCAATAGTTTCCCTCTGAAAATTTTTTGCCAATTGGCATATAAATGCCTGGCACACAATCTATGCCTAGCCTCAGGGAAAACTGTTTGTCTTGCATTAATCAACCCCTACCAAATTGTACAATCATGATAACAAATAAGGTTAATGATTGATAATAAAGGCAATTGAATTATACAATAAATAGCATTGATGAGTATAGTAACATAAAGATATTGATAATATAAATTAATTCATAATAGATTGTGCACACTTACAGGATGTTGGTCCGAAATGAACGTTAAATCTCGCCCAGTGTGATTTGATAGATCATCAGCTAGACATCTAAAAAAAAACATCCATGAGCTGGTAGACTCTGAGTCAACAACAGCCCAAGCTATTGGGAACATTTGATTGTTCCCATCCCTTGCAACAGCTGCCAAAATAGTTCCTTTGAACATCCCCTTGAGGAAACAGGCATCTACTCCAATTACTGGTCTACAGCCCAGTAGAAAACCCTTCCTACATCTTTCTAAACACACATAGATTCCTTTAAACATAGGTTTTCCCTCTGGAGTTGTGGGTGGCTCACTGTCAATTTGAACATTTGACTGAGGGGACAATCTCAGCAGCTCTTCTGCATACCCTCTTAACTGAGCAAATTCCTTCGTGTGAGTTTCCTTCACCTCCTTCATAATCCTTTCCTTTGCTAGTTTACACTTATCCATTGAAACATGAACCCCTAATTCTAAATGAGACAATCTCACTATCTCACTGATTCTGATCTGCGGATTTGCTATAATTCTGTTCCTATGGTGTTCTGCAAGTACCCTCGACCCAACCATATTGGACTTCAAACTCCTAAAGCAAGTGTGCTCCCTGCAATATGTCTTCACCTTAAAAGTCTTGTCATTTTTATCAAAACTGGCAAAGATACTCCAATTGCACTGTTGACCAACACAATGAATTCTCTGCCTGGTGGGGTCACTTTTAACAGGTTTCAACTTACAGCCTTTTTGAATTTGGTATTTAGCTATAGCCTCCTTAAACTGTGCTACATGCTCAAACCTC